TTTTGACCAGACTTTGGTTGAGTGACCAGGAATGGATGATTAGCCGACTTGTTGGCTGGCCTGGCGTAACGGCAGCACTGATAGAGGGAACCTGTCTCATCCACTGTCCACCGTCCATTTCGAGATTTGTCGAGTTCATCAGCAGCATTCAGCAGAAGGATTTTACATGGTTTCTTCTGTGCTTTGGCATGCTGCTCAGCTCGATACCATTTGGCCATATTGCTTGACCGTATAGTTTAATCCTTAAATCCATGGAGAAGCCCAATATCTTAATTCTCGGAGAAGGATCAGCATCTTCTGCAGCCATCGGAGTTCGGTGTGGGTTTGTGACCCCAACGCTCTGGTAGGTTAATAATTATGGCCGGTAGTGTCGTCTCACTTGTCCATTTGGTTCATGTGAGGGCTCAGGTGCTTGTCCGTGGTCCACCAACGGCGTTCGTCGGCCTTGAGGTGCTGTATAGGCCTTTGTCGCTCTCTCGCGGGACGCGAGTATTTGCGCACCTTTGTGCAGGCGGGATGCTGTCAGACACCACACACACTCCGCTTCGTGAGTTCTCGGTGCTGGGCGCATACATATACCATGCATGGTTCTTCTGTAATTATATACTTTAGTCAATGCAGAATTGGACATTCCTTTGAGTGTAGTGCCTTTCCTCGGTTTGCTTTGTATGCTGTTGGTTCCTCCACTTTATTGCGATCATGTCTTCCTAGTGTCACAGCCAGGATACAGTCAGTTAATTGCTTGTGACACAGGTGCTACCCCGTGGAAGCTAACCATGGACGCTGAAAACCACTGGTTTGTAGAAGAAAACGGTCTTTCAGGGTGCCATTCTCAGGGTCCATGTTTGTTTTCTGGAGTGTACCACCCATGGCACACAGGTCTTTCGTTCTTGGAAAGAAGCAGAGCCCGATGCCACGGTGAAGGACAACCTCGTGTGGAAGGGGGTGAGGCTCTGAACGAGATGGCCAGAGGGTATGTTTCCTGAAGCCACGCAAATCCGTAGTTTCCAAAGGTGTTCATGGATTGTGGTTTGACAGACGTGTTCAGGAAAAAGGTTTCTTGACAGTTCCACCCACGATCCAAGATCGGGACCATCCTGTCGGGCTCCGACCATCCTGTCGGGCTCCGACCATTCTGTCGGGCTCCATTCAAAGTTGGGTAGTCGCGGCTCATTTTGTGCATGATGAACTTGGGATGTGCAGGTTCCACTCATGGCGGTGCCGGTGGAATTATATACTCACACCTGGATGTCAGAGTCAGGGGTCCACTCAAAAAAGGTAGTTTCCTCTTGCTGGACTCCAAAGGCCTCGGTCGAAGCCCCAAAGTTGCAGGACAATCTTGAAGTGATTTTGCCTGCAGTGGTGCTCTCAGAAGAAGAGTTGAGTGAACACCAAAAGTTGGTTGAGCAAGATAAGCCTCAGCCATCTGCATAGCTTCGATAGCTTGATTTTTCTTGCCCCCATCCGTCAACCATTTGTTTTGGCTGGTTGATAGGTGTGTCTCAACAGAGGTGGGAGCTCGCCAAAGTTGGCTCTCTTAAGGCAGCCTTGATGAAGGACAATTGATAGGACCACCATGGTTGCTGACAAACCATGACCAGCCGTAACAGGCTGGAACTCACTGATACTGTAAAAGGATATCTACGAAGGACAAAGGAGGGATGCTCAATAGAAGGTTGTTCAATGTTTGTTTACAGTACAATGGTTCATTGGGAGACTATGTCCTTTCTTCACCACAAATCCAACATGTTTTCTGGGATGAACACATATTCAAGCCACAAAGGTGCAGCAGATGGAAGCGGCCGTTGCGTGAGTCCACTTGGATTGTCCCATGACATTCACAGATGGAGGCCCAAAGAACTTTACTTATATAGTACTTTAGTATCTCCCGGTGCTTTACGCTGCATCCTTGTTCGAGAATGGTAAGCCCCATAGACTAGCATGTTTGGGAATCGTTTAAATCCCGTTTCAGCAGTCTGCGCATTGAACACTTCGCTACAATGGAACCTTTAAAACCAACCAAGGTACGGGGCCGTCTCGCTGAAAAAAGGGGTAGTTTGGAGTTTGCTGACTAAACTGGACGATCCCACCTAGCCACTATGAGACACATGACACATGATTTCGACATCCTCGAAGGCTCAACGGCGAAGGCCGAATGCCTTCAGTCAGACTTGAAAAAAGAAGTATTCATCGGCCCAAGATGCGCAGAAGAGGTGGCGGGCATAGCCAGTAGGACCCGTCAAAGGGCTATATTCCAATCCTCATAGTTTCAAAACCACCTGCTGGGATCTGAGAAAGAGACACAGGGATGTAGAGCGGAAGAGAAGCCAGGTCTTGGCCAATAGAGGTGTCAATGGACATTTTTATCCCTGGGGCCCTGGTGTGAATGGATACTATCGCTTCTGTTTTATTTTTCAGAGAAAAGCCATCAAATCCCGATGGGAGGACATGAAGCTGACCGATGCCAACTGGGTGTCCTTTGGGTTTGTTTACACTCTAGACTCTAGGATATCAAGATAGCAGAATATGACCCCGCAACAGTGGGGGAGTAGCCGCTTCCGTGGCCTCACAGAGGTCTTTGGCAGAACTGACCGAAGGAGCAAGGTTTGGACAAGCAAATCTATTGCAGGCTTTGTGCGATTGACATATTTTTGAACCAAAAGCGCCAAACGGAGAATTGTGGAGTCTGACACTGCCTCGGTTTAGTAACATTCAAAGCTCCTTTTGTCATTCCCGATGCACCAGAGCATTCACAAGCGAAAGACACTCATCGAGGGTATTCGATTTCACCAAGCATTGACTCCCCGAAGACTGCTTTTCCAGCACTGTGGCAGTTGTTCTTCATCAGCTCCAATGATGACCACGAGGGCTACCGGTATTCCGCCTTGGAGGCTGGTGAGCAAAAACTCGTCTGTCGCAACACCAGTTTTTGCATCTGACATGAAAGGAGATGGACAGGAGGATCGACTCTGTAGCATAGCAATTCTGATGACACACTGCTGTGTGGTCCGAGCAAGGAGAGGTCATCACTGCGACTTTGCTTTGTTACAGCTCCTGAAATCATTTTGTGGAACAGAATGCTTGCCTTTACCTTTTTATCTTTTATTTTTGTTAAAGCGATCAAGGCTGCTTTCAATCTCAGCGTCATAACGCACCAGTTTTGTGAAATGCAGTTTTCGTCACGAAGAGCGTGCTAGTGGCGACCAGGTGGGCAAGGTCTTTTCGAATGCGGACTACCTTTATCAGTTGGGCAAAGCTCTCAGATCGGTCGAGGGCCGGTTTTGAGTTTGAGGGCTGGAGAAGCTTCATTGGATGACCTTTGAGCTGCGCACCCAAGGTTTGGTCTCTCTTTTTTTGCGACACACACTCTGACATTGGTATTCAGTTAACTCAGTTCCCAGGTCAAAAGGAATGAGGGAAACGCAAGGTGAAAGGGTCAGCGCAATTGAATTGTTGATTGTTTACTTGACTGCGGAAGCGCTCAGTGACAACGCTGCTGCACGTCGGCGGAAGGCGGCTGAGGGAACTCGGTTTAAGGGAAAGTATCATGAAGAACAACCATGGAACCAACGAACAGCGGCAGGGTGGACCATTGGTGTCGATGTGTTGATCCGCAGGTACAGGATCAAGCGTCCTTGATCCCTTCCCATCTGTGGTCGTAGCTTCGTTGCGTGCAGTGGACCACAGATGCTGCACGCCCCTGCCTCATTGAGTGGTTGTAATGGAAAACAGTGGCATTGAACCCTTTGGCACAGGGGGTGACACACACACGGTGCCGCTTCGCGGCGCGCGTGTGAAAAACCTCAATAGTCACCTAAAAAGCCTTAGAAACAAAAGAAAAAGAAAGACAGAAAGAGCAGCGCTAAGAGGGCAAGAAAGAAAGGTAGGTGTAGAAAAAGTGAATACTTAGCCCTTGACTGGGGCAGGGAAACGAGCCTCAAGAGCAACCTCAAAAGCCTGAGAGAAAGCCCAACAAACGACGAAAGGCGCAAGAAAGAAAGCGGGGGGCAGGGAGGGGTTGTATGTTCATGTGTGTGTACATGTGTGTGTCTGAATACCTAGCACTAGTTACTGATTACTTAGCAGAAATGAATTAAATGCAATAGTTAGGGAGCGGGACTTTAGTCTTAGACCGCCCGGGTAGGATAGGCTAGAACAGGGACAACAAAGGGAAAGGCACCGACACACAAGTGTGTCGAGTACCATTTCCCTATGTTACCCTAATTAGGTCGGGATAAGAACGCGGGGGGGGGTGGGATGGGAAACCTGCCTGACTGCATGACTGCAAGGGGAGTACAGTTTTATAGCCCGGCGGCTGTGGTGGTTCACCGTTTTTTGGCCCGACGGCCGTGGAAGCAGTAAATTCAGTTAAGGTTGGAGCCAGTGGTGAATTCCGGTGAAGGTGGAAAAGCTCAGTTACACGATCTCCGGCATGAATTCAGCGCCCCAGTGACGGGGATCACACTCAGCACCCGAGTGGGACGGCTGAGCGAAACACACCCTGACGTTGGTATTCAGTTAACTCAGTTTTCAGGTCAAAAGGAATGAGGGAAACGCAAGGTGAAAGGGTCAGCGCAATTGAATTGTTGAACAAATTGTTTACTTGACTGCGGAAGCGCTCAGTGACAACGCTGCTGCACGTCGGCGGAAGGCGGCTGAGGGAACTCGGTTTAAGGGAAAGTATCATGAAGAACAACCATGGAACCAACGAACAGCGGCAGGGTGGACCATTGGTGTCGATGTGTTGATCCGCAGGTACAGGATCAAGCGTCCTTGATCCCTTCCCATCTGTGGTCGTAGCTTCGTTGCGTGCAGTGGACCACAGATGCTGCACGCCCCTGCCTCATTGAGTGGTTGTAATGGAAAACAGTGGCATTGAACCCTTTGGCACAGGGGGTGACACACACACACACATCCGACGAATGAACTTTGACCCCCAAAAGAGGTAGATGCGTCCAGGACTAACTGCGAACGACATTCGAGTCCTTTTCTTTGCCCAGGTGCTGGCAACAACGATCCGCAGTTTGCAGTGGACGTGGGTTTGGCAACTTGATTCAACCACAGCGAGACCATAGTGGAACGCTCGCACGTACTGGGAATCATTTACCAATGTAAATTTACTAAATTATATTAAATGAGTTGTTGTTGAGGGAGAATACATGAGAAATTAGGGGTGGGTGATTATCAAAAACAAGTTCTCTTTACATTGAGTGAATCTACTTTGATGCTTTCATTCCTATAGATCAGTCACTATCAGAGTCGTGCACATGCATTGCACAAATGGGATTCGTTTGATGGCCCCATGGGATCCTGCAACGCCCCGGAAAGCGGCTCCAGGGCCGTCAACAACGGTGTCCGAAGCGGACTTTGCCAGCTCTCGCTGAGGAGATTGTGGGAGGAGATGAGACCACGAATTTGGTCACGTCTCTTGGGCCACAAAAGGAAGACGTTTTTGGTCAATCTATATAGGGTGTAGTCCATTAACGGTCACAGGCGGAAAGGATAATCACTGTTTGAGAAACGACTTTACTATCCATCATCATCCGTTGTTATTGGTAATGAGATTTACCCAACCGGAGCGATGTACCACGATGTGCAAACTCAAAGGGGTCCCTTGCTCGAAGATGGATTCAAAAACATCGGATGAAACAAACCAATGGCTTTCATGCCGTGAGATCAGTGAACAGTCCAGGGCTTCAAAAAGCGAGCTTTCGGTTTCAGGATATTCCAGGTCTTTAGTAGGTGATTAGGAGGGTCAGTTCCGATGGGTGTAGAGTTCGCTGGTGTTTCCTTCAGAGCTTGCTCAGAGCTTCTAGTGATTCACAGTTCGCCAACGACTGCAGCCTCGCCCCTCGCCAGGCTTCAGGATGGATCCACACGACTGCAGCTTCAGATGATGGGCGGTCAATACTCCACGGCGAAGATTTCCAGCTGGGAGCCCCGGCGATCGACGGAGTCGGAAGATGCGGGACAGGACCTCCGGAGACAAGATGGGGAGTTTGAGTCCGGACCTCTGCCAGAAATGGGAACGGACAACTCGGAACCGGATCGAGGTTGGGGCTATTTCTTCGGGCTAATGGGTCGAGGTTGGGCTGTTTACCACGATGTTGGCCACAATGCTGGTGCGGAGACGTCAAACCTGAAAGACTCTCTGGAAGACTCAAAGACGACCGGTCCTGTTTCTCCTTTTACTATACTATACCCAGACGCTCCATGGGACTGCCATATATGCCTACATTGGGGTGGTGCCAGGGTAGCCAATTAGGCATATATGGCATACATGGAGTGTATGGGATATAACATAACTTTACCAGTTGTGTGTGTCCCACGGGGTTTGAGGTTAAACACAATGTGTTTGAGACGTAGCCAGGTTGATTCCCTGAAAGGCCACTCACACTTTCGCTCTCCAAATGGCTCACTCTTTTCTGTCAGGAGGCAATCTGCTGAGTATTTGGCTGGAGCCGTTGACCGTCCAGGGCTGAGCGCTTTACCTCTGGCACGGGAGGTCTGGACGTGGTCTCAACCTGCAAATTTGGCACACCTGTCAGGCTTCTCGTCGATGCCCAAAAATTAAGCCATGTGGTGTGGTTCATGTTTGTTTGGGAATGATCAGGATGCTTGGGCTTGCTTGGGTGTGTCGCTTGGGCTTGCTGCCTGGGCACCGAGAAGGTGATCGAGGAAGAACGACGACCTAAGATGGATCACCGGTGTTGACTTCAGCAGCTGGCACTGGACTAAAGTGAGGGATAGATTGAGCACATATACTTTAGTGTGTATATACCAGCTTCTTCAGTTCGTGACCTTCTTCAAGTCCCCAAATAACCTGTTACAGGCCTAAGTGACCGAACCAACCAGGATGTCAAGAGGTCACTTTGAAGAACCAGGTATAGAAATCTATGAGATGTGGGTGTGTATTTGGGGGAGACCTCCTCGCCCCATGGGTTGATGAGTTGACCCACCGTTCGACCTTCCAATGGGTCACTGGGGGCGGTCTCCCTACTGTTTCGCTCCACCAGTGTATGTTTCGCTCACGAATCTCGAAGACTCACATGGACTCTGAGAAGCTCCACCCGTGGGTTTCAAGCATTTTTCCTTTGTATAATCTATAGTGGTCTTGGAGGTTTGTTAATCCCCGGGCGTATCCAAACCAGGGATATCCAGTGGAGCAATTGTTCTAGTGGCTTGAGAGTAGATCGCACCATCCCCAACGAACTGGTGGTTGAACGATGGACTTCCGACCTCGAAACCCAACGTTCCGCGATGAATCCTCGCCAAACCTCGCACGCACCCGGCCAAACCGCACCCGAACTCCAGGCCTGGCAATTGCCCACCAGCTGTGGGGATCGCACCGATCTCAGGCGATCGTGGGTCTGTGCGTCTCGGTCGCCCCGGCGACCCGGCTGGGTTTCTTTTTACGGTATGGTGACATCATGTTCAGCTGCAAGGTCACACTGAACTGAAAAAAAGAAACGTGTTTCGCGATCCACATCTGGAGGGATCAGCCTCTTCCGCTCCATCGGCATCCAGCACCAGTGAGTTCCAACGTGTCCGGAGTTCCTGCTCGGAAGCTATTTTTGAAACCAACCCCAGGCCAGTCGAAACGCCGGTGCCTAGTTTGGGTTGAAAACCGGGTTAGGCCGGACGTGGCTCATGTTTGCATGCGTCGACTGTGAAGGTTCTGAACAGAACCCTGTTCAGAACCTTCACAGCGCCCAATGCCTTGCTCCTTCAGAACAGGGTGATCCATCCTTGTCCGCCTTGCTCTGCAGTGTCGAAGCCGGGAGCATGCGGATCCACTGCTTCGTGGCAGGGCTCCCCGGTGGTTTTTCGGTCAGCGGCGGTATGCGGTGGTTTTTAGCAGGACGGGCGCGCTAAGGATCCGAACTGCAACCCAGTTCGGTTCGGAAAGAAGAACGCAATGATACGCAATGTATGACTTTAATTCAAACGCAAGGAAGAGGTCCAAAGTAGTTCTCTCTAAGGTCTAGACACACAAGTACCCCATAAGTATGTATGGTTGACAGTTGGTATGCAGGCCAACTAACTATCCAATCCAATTTGCTAATGTGGTCAGTTGATATCATGTAGTCTAGTCAAGTCATGTTTGGTCCAATCGAATCCACAGATGATCTATGCACACATTGTCGTGTCATAGTTTCAACTATCTTCATTGGGAATGAGTGAGTGTCAATGATCACCGGAGAGATGGGCACTAGGACTTCCGATATCTGAGGAACCTTTCTTGACATCTTGATTCTGTTCAGATTGACATTACTACATTACTGTTGACCTTTATATTACATCTTTATATTACATAAAGATCTCAGATTACTGTTCAGTGTCATCGTCCGTTGAAACGGATGCAGGTCATGGGAGTGTTGTCGAAGACGCTCCTTCCGTGGCGAAACGACATGCAAAGCCAACGGGGAGAAAGCTCCTGTGAGCTGATTCCATCACTACAGAACCCGATGGGAGAAAAAGCAAGCAGCGAACCCAACTGAGCTGATTGGGCCCAAACCACGAAGCAACACCAAGAAACGCAGCGAGACCATCCAGTTTTTTCTTTTGGAGTTTGGGTCCCAGACCCTCAGACAGGCAGAGTTGGATGATATTGTATTGTATTACCTCCAACCTAGTAGCTTCTTGCTACCAGTAGTAATGGCCTCCAACCCAATAGCAATGGCCTCCAACCTTGTAGCTTCTTGCTACTGGTAGTAATGGCCTCCAACCTAATAGCAATGGCCTCCAACCTAGTAGCAT